TCGTGGTTTAGAATTCAGGATTAGAGTTAATCAGGAGCTTTTTGAACAGAATGAAAAACAGTTTAATCACGACTCTTATTTGGGTCCTTATTAATATTTTACAACAAAACAACCAATAAATTTATTTGTGATCACTATGGTATGGAAGACATAAGGACATGAAAAAAAATCTTCATGACATAATGTTAAATAAAACCTACTGAAAGGTCATATTCCAAATAGTGATTTTCACTTTGGATTTTGGGATTATAGGAAATTTTAGCTCTGTTTTTGCTTATCTGAATTTTCTAAGTCCTCTAAAAAACTATAAATGTCTTTCAGGTAGTGATAATGAGTCCTGATACGATTATAAAATTGTTAAAGGGATAAGGTAGTACATATTCCACATTTTCTGAAATTGCCTTTATCCATTAGGGCAAGATTCCAGTTTTGGAGCTACCTGTGTACACGTGAGAAGAAAAATGTCTATTTGTGAAGTGTGGATTGCTTTTATGTGGCCCTCCTTACCAACGTCCTGTAACTTCCACCAAATGATTGTGTGGAACGATACAAATAAGGTGCTTGTGGCCCACTAAGGAGTGTGGACAGCTTACTAATAATGCAAATAAAGTGCATGGCCCCTTGTGGGGTGGTGGGGACATGCAAATAAGGTGTGTGGAACCCTAACAAGCAGATTGGTCAGTTTTGCCATCCCACTAGGTTTAAAATGAGTTATCCCAGAGGCAGGAAAGGGCACCCCACCACCAAGAAGAAGAGATGGAAGCAGAGGCGTATCCTTTGGACCCAAGAACCCTGCACTGAGAACTTTCTAGACCAAGGAGACAGAGAGAGAGAGAGCTGTAATACTGAAGACAGCAAGAGATGATGAGAAGCAGTGGCAGAGAAACGGCAACAGCAGAGGCAGCAGAACCAAGAGATGGGACAATGGGCTTCCTGACCCCCAGAGTGAGAAAACTGAGCATCTTCTGGCAAGAAGCTTGCTGGTAGAGTGGGGTACCTCTGGGCACTCGTTGTAGTGGGGATCCCCCTGCCCCGGGCACTTACTGATGGAGCTAAAGAGCTTTGTAACACATGCCAGAGCAGGGCAGAGGCCAGGCCAAGGGGCCAAGGGCCAGAGAGAGGCCTGCCTGTGGGCACGGCTGGGAAGAGGCTGTCCTGATTGAAGAACTGTATCCTGAGTCATCCCTGATCCTGAACTGTAACCTGTTACTTCCCTGATAAACCCCATAACTGTGAGTATGGTCTGTGAGTTCTGCGTGGCCATTGCAACAAATATCGAACCCAGCAGAGAAGTAGAGAGTGCCATGGGAGGGACAGTTGGTGTCAGAACTGGTAAAAAGTTTGGAGAGAGGAGATATGTCTGACCTCTGTCTCACAGGAATCAGCCTTGGGCTGTTGATCTTGATTCTCCTCTCCCCTTGTGAAGTTAGAGGAGGTCAGATGCCCCCACCCCACTGTTTTTACATCCATATAATGCCATCTGTTTTACAGACTAAGAACAGAACATTGGAATCAGGCCAACCTGCTTCCTATCCCACCTGTTTTCCTTATTACCCACGTGGCTCTCAGGCTAAACTTTTCATTTCCCTGAGTTTCAGGCCCCACCCCTAACACAGGTATAAGAATACTTGCCCCATAGGGTGGTTGATAGTCTCTGTACAGAGTCTCTAGCAGAGAGAAGGGACTCAATACACAATCGCTTGGTCCCCCTCCTTTCTGTTTCAACTAGTGGGTTTTAACCTTGGCTTCTTTTCAGTTCCTGCCAAGGGAAGACAGAAGAAGAATCGATACGTTCAAATCATGGCATTGGCAAAGAATATTAAACTTCCAGAAGAATGAAAAAATCAGTCTTAGAAGAAATATTACTAGAATGCTCCTTAGAAGTAAGGATGGCATGACTTCAGCTCACTTACTTTGGACACGTCTTCAGGGAGGACCAATTGCTAGAAAAGGAAATCATGTTTGGTAAAGTAGAGGGCCAGTGAAAATGCGGGAAACCCTCCATGAGATGGACTGACACAATAGCCACAGCAATGAACTCAAACATACCAGTGATCTGAAGATGGTGCAGGACCAGACAATGCTTTTTTCTGGTATACATAAGGTCTTCATGATTTGGAGCCAACTCAAGGGTAACTAACAACATTTTTGGTTTGATAACAGCTATGAGCTAACTCCCCACACCCAGGTGCAGATTAACCGGTAAACGTTGTATGCACTGGCTTACAGTAAGCAAAGTATGCATGGACTTAATTGTGCTTACTTACTACACAATTAAGTCCTTGCATACCTTATGTACAAACAGCTTGGGGGCAGTGTCTGACTTCCTCTAACTTCACAAAGGGGAAGGAGAAGCGAGACCAACAGGGCAAGGCTGACTCCCATGAGGTGGAAGCCAGACAAGCCTTCTCTTTCTGCCATCCTTACCAATTCTGGCACCAACCGTCCCTCCCACAGCACTCTCTACTTCTCTCTTGGGTTTGATTATTCATTGCAATGGCCACACAGAACTCACAGACCACACTCACAATTATGGGATTTATTAGGGAAGTAATAGTTACAATTCAGGCTCAGGAACACTCAGGATACAGTTCAGGATAGCCTCTCCCCAGCTGTGCTCACAGCATGCCTCTCCCTGACCCTCAGTCTCTGCCCAAAGGCACTCAGCTTTCTCTCTCCGTGGGCCAGGAAGCCCACCCTGCCGTCTCCTGCTGCCACGTCTCTGTTGCTGGGTGTCCGCCGCTGGTCTCTCCTTCCTGGGTGGCAGTGAGCTCCTCCTCTCGGCTCTGGAATTGGCTCTCTTTTAAGGCAAAACTGACCAATCCCCTTGGGTTACCTTATCACATAGTCCTACCCAGTCATCTGGGTGGAAGTTACAAACACCATGGCTAGAAAGGCCACACTAAAGTAATCAATCAGTAATCAATCGCACCACACCTTGCTTATTGGGTGATCCGTCCCTATCACAGAAATGTACATATGCTCATACAGGCCATGTTACATATGTTGGGGGGGGTTCATTTGTGTCTGAAGCCCAGTTCATACATCAGTAAAGGACCTATATTTCTGAGACAATCTGTCCATGCGTCTGTATTATATCTGCCTAGTTTTATATAAAAGTCTGGTCTGTACATTTCAGTCTTTCTCCTGAAAGGAGAGAGCAATACACTCCAAAGCAATGACCTCCCTGACAGTCCTTGTGCTAACCAATTCCCGTGTTTCAGCACTCACTTGGCATTCATCATGTCCCCAATATTCTTTATGTCAGGAGGGTGGGTCCAGGCAGTTCCTGGAAGACAGCAGTGAGGCCCCCTCCACTGAGGATGGAGATCAGACTCCAGCCAGACTGACCATCCAGGGACTAACATCTAAAATAGCATTAGAGCAGAGAGGAGATAGAGCTGGCCCTCAGCTGGAATCTACGGAGTCCTCCTGAGAACCCCCAAAGTGGGTGAGTCCCTGAACTCCTTTGGGTTCCTTTTCTCCCTTTGTGGGTTGGAGCTGAAGACACTGCGGGAAAGTGGTGGGAGCCCAGGGTTTGAAGCCAGGACATAAGGTCTAATTCTGCTTCTGCTGCTGGTATGCTACGCAACTTTGGGAAAGTCTCCTAACCTCTCTGGGCCTCATTTTTCTAATAGCTAAATGAAGGTTCCCCATGGTCCCTTCTAGCATTCAGGTTTCAGTTGTTTCCACTCTCAAACTCCTTAAGCCTATGTTATTGCTTTCATGAACATCACAACATCCCTCGCCCATAAGTGCTTGTCTGCATCTGTCTGGATACTGCAGTTCTGAGTTGGGCTGCCCCAGTGAGAAGGGCCTGCCCCATACCCCTGTCGGGTAGAATTTACCATCAAGACATCACCCTGCCTGCCACCAGACCCTGAACGCAAAGGAGAGATCAGCCTGGGATGGGGGTCTCTTCAGGATCATCCACAATATCGCAAATGAAGAGAAATGGCATTAAGAGCAAGGCTTCCCATTTCTTCCAGGTGCCCATTTTAAATTACATTTGGGAAATGGCTTTAATTAAAATAATTTCATGAGCAAATTGGGCATTTGAACCCCAGTCTGTGTTGCATTGTCAAATATAGACGCCAAGTCAATATCAAACTGTTCTTTAAAAACCCATACATTCAGTGTAATCTCCTAAAATTAAATTTTATTTTGGAATTTCAACATAGGAGGTTTCTAAAAATAGATCCCATTTGTCATGTGGTTATTTTAGGGGTATGTAAGTCTAAGGAAGCCCAGGGCCCTTTCTCGGAAAGGGTTCTCCTTTGTTTTGGAGTATGTTGTTTCTTCCTGCAGTCTTGGTTTTAGAACTCCCCTTCTTTTATGAATTGATAGATGAGTTGTATTTTTTAATGTTCTTCCTTGGTAAAATAAACTCCATGGCTGAATCCTAATTAAAAAAAAAAAAAAAAAAATCCCTGCTCTATGAAATTCCAGAACCTCAGTGTCCCCTGTGTAAGTATCACAGCGGACTTTAGGATTCTGATTTTGTGTTCAAAGAAATCAAAGCTCGGAGGGGGTGGTTGGTCATAGGACTGACACCATGCAGCTGGAGGAAGCCAGAGCTGGGATTTGAATGTGGCCCTTCTAGCATGGAAGCCTACACTGGCACAATTGCCAATCACCATGCCCCCGTCCTCATGAGGAAGAATGAGCCCCAGTGCCCAGCGTGAGAGGACCACCCCTCAAGGTTTAAGGAGATGAGCCCAAGAGAAGGAAAACTTTCTGTTTATTAATCTGCACCTTCTCTCTCTGAGAGAACCCAGTTAACTTTCAATTCAGTGCACTAATGGAGGAGCAAGAGGCACAAGCAAGCTCCCACAGCAGAGGAAAGTGCCTGGGTGGCTTTTATTAGCCTTGAGAATGAATTTTATTTAATATCTGCATGGCAGATTTAGGGAGTCAATTTTGCTTTTACTTGAGTAAACTTCCTCTGGGAGTGCTGGTGATAATCTGGTTGCAGAAGCTAGAAAGTGAATGCATCCCAGGATAGTCTTTCAACAGGACAAAGGACACTGCTGTGCAAGGAGATGGGAGACACAGCTGGCCTGGAGTTCAGGGGAGAATTCTCGGTTCCAGAGGGGTTGCCCTCAAGGTGGAGGCCCAGGGAGACTCTGGCCTTGCCAAGTCCTAGGACCAGAGTCACTCTTGTGGGACTATCTGGAAGGTGAAGTGTGGCCCTAGGGCTCCTCCAGGCACAGTGGACCATCAAGAAAGAATGAGGCTCAAGACCTGGGAGCCTCTCTGTGGAAAAGCAGAGTCAGTGAACTCTGTGTTCTAGGAGAAGACAGCAAAGGTGCTGGCCCAGGAGCGGCTCATTGAGGACTGCTAGAAGCAGAAGATGTTGGGAAAGTATCGGTAGCTGGGGTTGTAGCTCCATAGGTTTCTCCGGAGGCAGTAGACGAACTTCCGGTCACAGGCGCAGAGCTGCACCTGGCAGAAGGGCCCGGGCTCTGCAAACAGGACACCAAGTGCAGAATGAGGAAGGGAGGGATGTGCTCTACCAAGATTGACTCCCGGGCTAGCTTCAGTCTGAGCACTTGCTTCTCATCTGAGCAGACTCCTTGGTTTGCTTCTGGCTCTGAGGAAGTTCTCAGTCTGAGGGGGGTGAACTGGGGAAACACACAACCTGATGGAAGAGGCACAACTGCTGCCCGGGTGAGGCTTTAGTCCTCAAGGAGTTCTCAGTCTGATGGTGTAGACAGTCCCTGCTCTGGAGGAACTCCAATTCTTAGGTAGGAGGTACCATCCCTAGACTTAGCTTTGAACTGAGATGGACCTGCGCTTGAATCTGAACTCCAGCTGCGTACAGTGGCAAGCCTTTGAGCTTTAGTTTCCTCCTCTGTGAGATAGGGAGGCTAAACCTACTCCACAGTGGAGATTAAGTAAAATGAACAATGCTAAGCGCCTGGCACCTAGTAAATGTTCAGTCTAAAATGGTTCCTACACCCTTGCCCTGGAGGTCTGATGCCGCTATAATAACCCTGTCCCCAGCCCTGCCCCCCAAGGTATAGGCTAGCTGACCTCCAGGGGCAGTAAAACTCAGAGCCAGATGAGATCAGGTTCTTTGTAAGGGCTGAATGGGAAGCCCAGCCTTACCACAGGTGACAAAGCCCCGTTTAACTCTGTATTTGTATGACTGGGTCCAGATTTTGCAGCCTTTCTCCTCCAGATGCCCATAGCAGCCGTCGTGCACCCAACAGCACCTGTCGATGCAAGAGACTTAGGTCCTGAGTGACAAAGGCAACCTCTTGACCCCCTTGTCCCTAACAGGAGCAGAAACTCAACCATGTCACTTCAGCAAAGGCCACCTGTACTGAGAAACAATCTAACAATATGGCTGATTGCTTTACTGCTTTTCCACTATGGCTGTAGTTCACCAACCCAACTTTTCCTCCTGGACTCACAGCTAGACTACATTTCCCAGCCTCGCTTGAAGATAGGTGTGGCCATGTGACTAGGTTCTGGCCAATGGAATGTGGGCGGAAGTGATATCCACCACTTTCAGGCCTGCCCATAAAAACCTCCTACCATTATCCACCACTCTCTCTTTCTCCATCTTTCAGATGGGTGAAGTTGATCCAGCAGAGGACTCTGAGGTCATAGGGAATGGCAGAGCCACAAGAGGAAAGGAGCCTGGATCTCTGAGTCACCCTGTGATTCACATTAAACTGTTATGGGAGCAAAAAAGTAAACTTCTATTAGGTGTGGTAGATTGCATTTTCTTTCTTTTAATTAAATTTTTATTTACAGAAAAATTAAGAAGATAGTACAGAGTTCCCATATAACCAGCACCTAGTTTCTCTTATTATTAACATCTTACATGAGTGTGATATATTTATTGCAATCAATGAACCGATACTGATGCATGATTATTAACTGAAATCCATATTTATTTAGATTTCCTTAGTTTTTCCCTAATGTCCTTTTTCTTTTCCAGGATCCCATCCAGGATACCACATTACATTTAGTTGTCATGTCTGTTTAAACTCCTCTTGACTGCGGCAGTTTCTCAGGCTTTCTTAGTATTTGATGGCCTTGACAATTTTGAAGAATATTGGTCAGGTCTCTTGTAGAATGCCCCACTATTGGAATTTGTCTGATTTTTTTCTCATGATAAGACTTGTTGTTGTCAGGTGCTGTCCAGTCGGGTCCAAATCATAGCAACCCTATGAACAATAAAATGAAGCACTGCCCTGTCCTGCCCCATCCTCACAATCTTCGCTATGTTTGAGGCCATTGTTGCAGCCACAGTTCAGTCTATCTCTTCGAGGGTTTTCCTCTTTTTCCCTGACCCTCTGCTTTACCAAGCATGACTTTCTTCAGGGACTGGTCCCTCCTGATAACATGTCCAAAGTCTCGCCGTTCTCCCTTCTAAGGAGCATTCTGTCTGTACTTCTTCCAAGACAGATTTGTTAATTCTTCTGGTAGTCCATGGTATATTCAATAATCTTCACCAACACTGTATTTCAAAGGTATCAATTCTTCTTCAGTCTTCCTTATTCATCATCCAGCTTTCACATATAAACAAGCAGTTGAAAACACCATGGCTTGGGTCAGGCACAGCTTAGTCCTCAAAGTGACATCTTTGCTTTTTAACACGTGAAAGAGGTCTTTTGCAGCAGATTTGCCCAGTGCAATATGTTGTTTGATTTCTTGACTGCTACTTGCATGGGTGTTGATTTCCGAGTAAAATGAAATCCTTGACAACCTCAGTATTTTCTCCGTTTATCATGATGTTGCTTATTGGTCCAGTTGTGAGGATTTTTGTTTTCTTTATGTTGAGGTGTAATCCATACTGAAGGCT